TGAATTGTCCTTAAGAAATGCCTGGAAAGCAATTTTTAGTTGCATGCTCCTTTCGTTTGTCACTAGCGTCCAAAACAAGACTCTAGTTTCCAAAATCAGACCCTAGTATCCACAATTAGAACCTAGAGTCTAAATTCGGACTATAATGGCTGAAAACTAACACTGGTGTCCAAAATTAGACACTAGAGTTTAAAATCTGAAATTAGCAAAACAAATTGGAGCTAGTGTCAAAAATCTGATACATGTGTTCGAAATCCTATACTAGTGTCTAACACTGGACACCTCTGCTTAAAACCGGACACTGCTGCCTAAAATCATACACTGCTGTCTAAAATCGTACACTACTGTCTAGAATTGGACATTAGTGTCAAAAACTGGAAATTACTGCCTAAAATCATACACTGCTGTCCAAAATCAGACACGAGTGTCTAAAATCAGACTCTTCCACCTAAAATCAGAATATACTGCCTAAAATCAGACACTTGTGTTTGAAATTGGCCCACAATGTCTATAAATATCAGACACCAGTGTCTACATTTGGACACTTAAGACTGAAATGGGACACTGCTGTCCAAAATTGGACAATGGTGTCTAAAAACAGACACTACCAACTAAAGCTGCACTCTGGTGTCTAAGATCAGACACTTGTGTTTAAAATTAGTCATTGGTTGATGCCTTTCTCTCTTTCCATCACCTTTCTTGTGGCAAAAGTATCAATATTGTAAGGAAAATTATCCTTAACCCTTTCACTCCCACAAGTGACCAAGAGAGAATTTCTCCTTACAATATCAATACAATATCAAGCAGGCAGGCAATGAGAATAGAGAACAATATCAATCATGGGATTATTAGTTGATCCAATACCAAATTCTCTGAACTAACATCATAAGAATTGTATGGCAGATAGTAAGGAGAATTACTAATCAGATCTTGGGAGTGAAAGGGTTAAGTTTATACTCAGAAGACTCACAAAAAAAAAGACAGAGTTCCATATGCTCTTCCTCTGTTGGACCCTTTACAATGTAAATTTTTATGTTCACAGATCCTGATTCCCATGGCTGGAAGCAATCAGAACAAAAATCTACTAGAATTCATAAACTAAGAGAAAATCCTGTAGAAAGTTATAGCCCTGATACAAATTTTATTCTAGAGAAATCAAAACCTACAAAGTCTCCATGATTATTACATACTATTAATATTAATATATTAATATTAAGAATCATTAATTCCAAAAGTCAGAGGGACTTGCAGAAAAATAGGCTAAACTGCTTGCTACCCTGAAATGTTGTTTCAGACTAGAGTAGAACACCCAAAATTGTTTATAAGGGTGAGCTTCCTTGCTCAGCTGTCTAGAAAAGTAGATTTTGTAAAATCACTTTATACCAATTCAAATGCAAACAGTGCTTTGAAATACATATTATGATGTCTTCCTTAAATATTACAGGATCTCTGATGAAGTTGCACCTAAATACTCAATGACTCATATTTCAAGGCACCTTTTGTATCAATTCAATGGCATAGAAATGCCAACCAGTATATTGCAGCAAGAGCTTAATATCTTAGATTAATTATGGGAAACAAGAAAAACCAATAGAATTATGGGTGCACAATATTGGAGAGAACTGCATAGAACCACATCTGGGTGAACTAGCTAGAGAGTAACTCAGTGCTGTAAGTTAACTGAGCAGTGGTTCATTTGAATTGATCACCTATGATTTTATAAAAAAAATTATGACTGCCTTAATGGCAATTTTGTGTGACTACATGGTGTCTTTGTAGACTTCAGTGGCACATTCCTGTCCATATGGGTAACAATTTTGCATCTACCCTTAACACTTGAGATTTCATTCATCAGCATTAAATATTGCAGCACAAACACCCACACAACACACACAACAACACATGACCCCTGCTAAAATGTATGTGGAGGTTGTTAACCAAAATGCAAACAGATACAACGTTTGGTTACAATATTTATCACCTTCAGAGTCAATAAAGTCGGGCTTATAATTCTTATATATCCAGACATTTCCACAAATAAACCAGATAAACAGGAAGCAGTCTAGGATGCCCTCGAAAGGGCGCTTCTTCTTCTCATCTTCATCTTCATCATTATTGGATTTTGTGGCCCGCTGACACAAGGAGATGAGGTTTCTGAACACACCCACAGCTCCACCAACAATAAGATAGATGGGAATCTTATCTTCTACACGGCACTGGTCTTTGTATTTAGCTCCTGTTAAAGGTATTAAACTTTTCATCAATTCTACAAAATCCGATTTGAAATCGCACCTTTTGGCCAAGATAATTTCACTGTCAAAGTTCTAAGACACATAGAGGTAAAACAGAGAGGGGCTAAGTTTCTAGCAAGTTTTCCAGCATCACTGGGAAGTATACATCAGAGCGCACGACAAAGGGCATACACTCAAAATGTCAGCTTAGAACCACTTAACAGTGGCTAATTTACATTATCAACCAATATTATGGACATACAGGTAAATGTTTCACTTACCTATGACTATCATAGCTATGGGAATAGCCATGACCAGCCCAATCATTATGGTACATCCAACTAAGAATGATATCAAAGAAAGAAATTAAAACTACTTGAAATAGCAATTTGTAGAGATAAAGTTTTGTCAACAGTAAATTGAGGCCCTCAACTAGTCAGCAACAGACTTGATTTCTCCCCATATACCCCCACAGATCTGTGGAAACTACCAGCCATCTTGCTCTGGTTTGGGCTGTTTACTGTAGCTGCCAACAGGTTAGATCGCATTACTGACAACTTGCTTTCAGTAGTTCTTTTCCAGCTGCCCTGGAACAACCTTGAATCCTCTTTCCTTTTAGGTTCCACCCTCAGAGCATAATGACATTGCTAGGCGTTTTTTCAGAGGGTCATACTAGTTGGTAGTTACAGCTAATTTAGACTGCATGCAGCACAATTGTAACTTTGCCCAGGGGAAAGTATGAAGCCTTTTAAAAGCAATGCAAGAGGGCAAGAAGTCTGCAAGGGGTCTTGTGCTGATAATTACTACCAGATCCCCAGCAAACCTCTTCCCAACTTGTCTAAAATCTTCCTGCAGGCAGAGAACACACATCCTGCAGTGCTATCATAGATGACGACCTGTTCTCAGGGTATAGCTAAGGAAATACTCTGTACCTTACCCTAATTTTCCACACTTTGGTTTAGTAAATATAACTTTCTGAGAATCACTAGGCTTAATAAAAACCCTGTAAGTTATTATTCTATGGAGCAGTGACTTTTTCAAATTTATACAGGATCTTTTATGTTGAAAAAGATTGACACAAATTCTTACTTGTTCCAATAAGTATCAAAAAGAGTTTCTTCAGGAAGTCAAGCACTCCACTGGAACTGGAGCGTGCTTCTTGGATTTCACCAAACAAGGACTGATATGAAGGTGGTGGACCTTATAGAGGAAAGAAAAAAATGAAATTAGAAGTAGCACTAACCTTTACCACCATCAGTATTCCTATTCTTCAAACTCGCATGGCACCTCACAGTTTAACACTTTACACCCTAACATCAGTATGAATATTCTCCCTACTGTTCGCTATATATTTCATTTTGTACTGACAATGAGAATTTTTTTAAGATCAAAGCTTCTGAGGTTGTGATCATTTTCTTTATTCTCATGATCTAAATGAACGATTCACCAGTATTACTGTAAAGAGAAATTAGAAGCTGGTCACTCTTAGGGTTTAAATGTTTAACTCAGAGAAAGAGGCAGTTATTTTCAACTTACAGAGCAACCAAAATGGTTGCAGCATGAAGAGCTGAATTTTATTTTTCTAGAGAGCCATGCAGGTACACTTACCCATTGCTTCGTCATAAGAGGGGGGAGAAGCATTGTCTGTTCCATATGAAGGAGGCATCCCTGATGAAGGGTCTACTGGATCTCCCTGGAATAGAAATGGAAAGGTTGAACCCTTTTATTTGCAAGATCTAGATATTATAATTTCTAAACATTAATCATTTTTCTGATAATGTAATCACTTCTGATGTGGATCACAGTGTTTCAATTGTATAACAGTGGTATTCCTCAGACAATAAGGTTAATGGAATATGCATCACCTCATGAAGCACTACACCCAGCTGTGACTGATATTTGACAGCTGTAAGGCAAGATTTCTAAGAAATATTGTCTCCAGTGTCTGCTATCACAAAGCTTTCCTACTCTATTGAGTCTATCTATGCAGTATGCAGTCAAAATGACAATCCATATCCACATTGGCTACACCATGAGACAAAGGCTTAAACTTCATTACAAGAGTTGTCTCCAAAATAAATAACCAAAAATTTTTCCTTCACTTTTCAATACTGTCTGGTATACAATTCTCAGAGTTTATGGCTTCGAGATCTAGTAATAAAAACAACACTAAGTATAACAAATGAGATATGAAACAAACACATTCCAACAGAGCTTATTACCCAATTTTCCAAGCAAAAACAAGACAGCAAGAAATTGGTAAAAATTGTTGAAAATTATTGTGCAAATGAGACTTGCAAGTCAATTTTCAGTAAATAATTTTATCACGCAAAAGCCCTATTTGCATTCTGTAAATGTCCGTATTAGGAACAACAGCTGTTCTAAAAGTACACAAGGAGACTAGAATGTCCATCAGTAATTTGCAGTGGTGCAGATGTAAGATAAATGTCAGATCTAGTGTTGAAGCTTTAGTCTGGTGCAATAGATGCAAATTATGATCATTATTAAACCTTTAACTCCCAAGATATCATTAGTAATTCTCCTTACTGTCTGCTATACAATTCTTCTGATGTTTCTTTAGAGAATTTGGTATTGGATCAACTAATAATCCCTTAGTTGATACTTTTTCTTGGTTCTCATCACTTGCCTACTTGATTTTGTATTGATGTTGAAAGGAGAAATTCTGTCTTGGTCACTTGTAGGAATTGAAGAGTTAATTATTTCCAACATTTTAAAATAGGCGTATACATTGTGCAAACTTCACCACTGAGAATGAGGAACTTGTTAGCTGGAATGAAATGAAAGCTTTTGTTCTAAATACTAGAGCCTCTAAATGTAGCGGTGACGTGCTATTTTATACCAGTGAGAAGTAAAATTTGGAATGTGCCATTTATTTTGTGGCACAACATCTGATTTGGGAAAGTTGGCAATTTTCATATGCAACAGCATTTTCAAAGGATTGCACTGGAATTGTAGTTTTTTTCCTAACTCGAAGTCTGAACTGCCTCAAAGATCAAACTAAGACTAAGAGCTTTCATTTCACTCTGGTTTCTTCATTGGCGCATTTTTTATTCTTTCGTGAACTTTCACACTATGTTGAGTATTTTTTGAATCGGCAGCAAAACAGAGTTAATTGATATTTTAGCAAAATAAAATAGAAAGACCACAAGCCTAACTTTCAACTATCACGTACGACTTCTGTTAATCACGTGAGAAATATTCTAAATTGGAAGACAATTCAAGAAGTATTTTGCCTTGAATCTCATGGCTAGCGGAGGAAAAGAAGACCTTTGAAGAAAGAAAATTAAAGAAGAAATAGAGAAAGGAAGGATTTGAAAATGACTTGTAGCTTATTAAGTAAATAATTTGTACTTTCACTTTCATGATACCTACATTTACAGGCGGATATTAAAATCATAACAGAACATGGATCTTCATCATGACATACTCGACAAAGAACTACGGCAGATACTTTTCCTAATTTAAGTAAAATGTATTTATGAGTTTTTCTTTTTGAAACAGATGGAAACTCAAACGCTAAAAGGTCGACTCTTGATATTAAATTCGGAACGCTGAACTGTCTTTCGCCGTTTGGCGCGCATCTGCTTAGATAAGCAGTTCTCCAAGTCGTACAAAAATACGAATGACTTTAGCTAGGTACACACCTCAATGGGTCGTTTCTCTTTATCAGCCATCATTCACTTATTCACTGGTCCTTGGTTAATATTGAGTGCAAACCGCACGAAGCTTGCCACAATCAGTGACTACGAGCAGGAAACAATTTAATCCCCTCCCTGAAGTAATTAGCATATTAAATTATGTTACCCCCAGGTCCTTAGTCCTCCCTCCTTTGCCACCATGATGTCCTTCATTGCAGGGGGTGGGCAGAGGAGGGTCCTCTGGGGGTGGCGGAGGTGTCAAGTCAGATTTTACTTAACCTTACACGTCTCATCATCCATATTGCATCACCCATATTGCACCTCATCGATGCATACTGATCAAGACTTTACCTTTAGTTTTGTTACAGCGGAAACGGAAACGTTTTCGTGTACAAAACTAGAGCTTAGCAACATGATGAGTTGTGTATCATGAACAGTTTACATGAATTAAATCAAAAGTTGTCTTGTGGATGGGATATTCTTTAGTAACAGGTGGCAAATTGTTCATGAATGATTAGGCAATAGGATACTGCAGAGAAGAAAGACAGAAATTTGTCATGTATAAATGGTAATCACCAACATAGCTAATTTGAAAAGTCGTAATAACACAAAGGGACAATTCAATATTTTCCATACAATCATTACATGAAATGTTGATATGTGCCTCAGCTAAATGATCACAATGCACTTGTGGAAACTTTTCAGAAGAAAAAAAAGTTTGTCATTTCTTTCTAAATGTGTTCTTATCATCCACTTTTGTGTTTGAAGAACACATATTATTTTTGAAGCTTTCATTTGTAGGGGCATGCAATTTAAGGGTTTGGAGGTCCTCTTAGACTAGCTGACCGGTTGTATTTATTTAATGCAAGGGCCTCAAGCCCATGTAACAGCCAACCACATGTATATACTATCATGTTGGTAAAAATCGACTTTTCTAATCCATGGTTATTACTAGTTTTAATATATTATTCATTAACAACTTTATTGAGAATTATTGTAATTTTTTTTTTATTATAAGAAAATAGAGCATTGTGAGATGAAAGACAGTTAATCTAAATCTATTACTAATTTTAAGAAGTCTATTCCATGCTTCCTGGTTTGGTTATCATTTTATGAGGCAGCTTGTTGTAGTTTACAAAATTATGACTTCAGAGCATCTTAAAGATCAGTATCTTACATTAAAATAAAATGCTTGCAAAACATAACATAAACTTCCTTGAGCAGTGACAAGTCAGTAGAAAATGCTCTCACTTGTTTACTGTTTCTGAAAGCTTTTAGCATGGATTTGTGTAGGTAACTCTTCACAGAGCTTACAAGAAAAATTTGTCTAGTAATCAAGAACGTTCTGAATTTATGATCATTTCCTTTATTCTAACCAGTGTGATTCCATAATAGTTTACAAGAAAAATAATTAGATGCTAGTCACACTTTGGGATCAAAGGATTAGGATCTAGCTAGGAAATTCCAAGTAATACCTGGAGAATTCTCCCTTCTCTGATGCTAAAATGCTTCTTCTGTCAAATTTCTTATAATTATGAATCATGTCTTATCTCAGACATGAAAAAACCAAGGCCTTACATGTAACCTATACAGCTATTGTTCATAATTTCTGATGAATCTAAAGCTTTTTCCACATTACCTTCCTGTTCTTTGAGTTCCGAATGACTGCAGTCTACATGACCATGTATAATACAAGATGATACATACAGATGTACAACCTAACAGTGGTGCACTGTATATTTTTATACCCATTTACATTGCACATTAAAAAGAACTCTTCAAAAAAAAAAAACGTTAAATTTAGACAGTCTAAGATCATTATTCTCTTGACTATTGATGCTCAAAGAGTTCTCGTATCTTTTTTATACTTGGTGCATAGCAGGCTTGTCTTTTAAACGAGCTATCTTTCCAACTGCAACAGAAATAGCAAAATAGAAATTAAAGCTTACATTTTCAAAATCCTTGATCACAGACAAAAAAATTAACACAAGTCCAAAAATCTTAGAAAAATCATTCATACAAAGATATACCCTTGAGATAAATAAATAAAAAATTAGCTGATTAATGTACAGTGATCCCAGAATAGACAAGTTTAACCCTTTAACTCTCATGACTGACCAAGACAGAATTTCTCCTTACAATATCAGTACAATATCAAGCAGACAAGTGATGAGAATAAAGAAAAACATTAATTAGGGGATTATTAGTTGATCCAATACCAAATTCTCCAAGCTAACATCACAAGAACTGTATGACAGACAGTAGGGAGAATTACTCATGAGATTTTGGGAGTTAAAGGGTTAAAACTGCACTGAGGCCCAAGACCCAGTTGGAAGCTAAGGGGCCATGGATGATTTCTTGTGAACAAAGTTGACATTAATTACTCACTTGGATTTGACTTTCTTCCACCTTTCCATGTGATTTCTTTTAAGATCACTCACTGGTGGAGCTTTATCAATATCCTAGAAGATTATTGGTTAAAGATTGCTAATTAACTCGCAAAAATCAAGTAATAAAAGATGGTTTTGGTTTAGCTTTAGCTTTCTCTGAAACAGAGAGCAAACTAGAAAGTTTAAGGGGGGTAAGTTTCTAAAGAAACCATGGTGCTGCATTGGTGAGAGAGTTTAGCAGATGTAATTTAGTGTTAACAACTGAGTTGAAAATGTGATTGGCCACCATAAAGGGTAAAAAAGCTGACGTTTCAAGTGTTAGCCCTTTGTCAGAGCAATTGGAGTTCATTTTTTAAAAAAAGTTTAAGGCCTGCAATTGGACTTTTTTTCCATAAAAAGTTTAAGGCCAGCTACACAAGTTAGGAATTCTAAGACATAAAATATCTACTTACATAATGAATATCTAGTGAAAGTGTTCCTTTTGAAAGAGTACTGTTCATCTTAAAGTCTTCAATTGATTTCACTGGATCTGGAAAACTTTATAGAGAGAAAAGAGATTAATATAACATAGCAAACACCCTCATAAAACAAAAAGCCCTCATACCTGAGTTTGGCCCTATGGGTTTCTAATATAATGAATGTTCGGTGAGGGATTTGCCCTTATCATTATCTGATCTGAGACTAGCTACAAGCATTTTCTTTCTTAGTTACCTGTAAACATTCTTAGGATCACTGTCACCATTCTGTAAGAAGAAATTCAAAACAGTCAGATATTTACATCTGTGTAATGGAATACACAGCAGTTAAAACTTGAGAAAGCAGAGTAGCAGTGCTTTTTCATCTTTTTTTTTTTCTACTTACACTATGGGACAAAGAAGACATGACACTCTCCTGGCTGCTTGTTGGAGATTCACCATCTTGGTTGCCCTCTTGAGAATCAGATGGCTTGGTTCCATAAGGCTTGTTCTGCATCCAGGCTCTAGCCAGGGCATACAAGGTTGTGTCTTCATTGAATTGGGCGAAATCCACACTGCGATCAAACAGCTTCATGACAAAGCTATAAAGGTAAAAAGCCAAGGGGGAACAAAATATTCCAAAGTATTACAACAGTAACCTCAAAAGCAGAGCAGAGATTTGGGATTCTCCTTTGAAAATTTAAAGCAGACGCTGAAAAACAGTGTGAAGTAACAAGAAAATACATTTATGCTTTCTGAATAAAAAGCATTGCAGGTCATCAAAATTTAACCAAAGAAATTGGTTTGAAGGAGAGGTATTATACACCGTCTTTTGCCCTATAAACACCCTGAAGATTTAATGAAATGACTTAATTGCAAATACCCAGTATCTAACTGACACTGACATTTGATAACTGTCAAACTTGGTAAAACCATTGAAGATCCTAGAAGGTTACATAAGGGTTAAAGGGAAAAGTTAGATAGATTTGATCCAAAACTGTAAGTAGCACAGTCACTGAAACACATTTCAATTTAGTAAAGCATTGTACTGAGCTAATCTTTGTGCAAAGGCACTCAGATAAATCTTACCTTGCTAAGGTGACAAGTATCCCCACCAAAAGTCATGATCAAGACCAAAAACAAACAAATAGAAAGCAGAATCAAACATTTTTCAAGGCAGCCAATCATAAAATTATTAAATTCATTGGGTAAAGAAAACCATTAAGCCTGACACAAAATCAATGATAACAGCAATATTTCTTGAAAAAAAGTACATACGGTTCTGACTACTTCCATCTGCATCTGCAAAGGAAGACAAATTGAAAATATTTGTGATCACACTTAACAGAAATGAGGGAAAATAATTTGTATGTAAAGTTACCTAAAATCTCAGGCCCCTCAACAAAATATGACAAACTACGGTAACATCATAGCAATATAATCTATAAATACAAAAAATTTGCCATGAATTTGTCACAACTAAATCATTTCACAAAAATGCCATTTTTGCTATACTTACCATCATACCCCACATCTTTTTTGCGTCTTTTCCTTGGTGTTTTTCCTATAACAGAAGATGGAAGACATGTTCAGATGTTTACAGAACAACTCATTAGGAAGTCATTCTGCACCCAGAAACTAACTGAGAACTTTATAAACCTTTGTGAATAGACAAATACTTCCCAAGCAGCCATTAAATATCTGAATATAAAAAAAGATGTTTACCTGAACCACTTCTTTATTTGGAGCAAGCGTTGCATAACATGAAACAAGGAAAGAAAAAATTGAATAACAGCACTGGCAATACACATCACTCAGGTATAAATAGTTGTACAGAGAGGAAAAATATGCACATCTAAAAACGTGAAATATATTAATTAATGGTAATGATGATAATAATAACAAAATAATAATTATTATCATTTTATGACAGGGTCTTGGGTCATTTAAAGGTGGTCTTAAGGGCTCCTAAAAAAACTCATAAAATTAATGTAACTGTGTCCAACTGCTAACAACAACAATTCATTCAAACCTCTTGGTTGGTGTTGAGGGTGGTGGCATTTGAAAAGCTGCAGAACTGTAAAGAAAATTAATTTAATTTTAGTTAATAATATTTTGATCAACTGATTGTGAAGTCAGATTGTCCAAGTGAGGGTAGCCCTGAGCAAGACTGTCATTGGTAATGGTGACTGATGTGTCAACAACCTGAGTGAAAGTCATCATCAGATTTAAGCAAGGAGTTGTTATATGTTTGGTATATGTATTCTGATTACCCAGTCAAGTTGTGATGTTGATGGTTATAAGACTCAAGTGGTGTAAGTTGGTCTTGATTGGTCAGTTTTGTTGATTTTTACACTGTTGTACCACTCAGAAAATTTATTCTGCACTCTCTGACAGTTACACACACAGAGTAATACATGTATATCAAACCAACATGTAAATTTGAGCAAACAACAATTGTTTAAACAACAAAGAAAAAACAACTTTTTCCCAATTTTTTGTTTAATTAGCAATTCCTGTGATTTATGAGTCGGGATAATTGAGGTTCAAATGTACCAATAACAGTCCTTCTCAAGAATATTCTTAAATGAATCATAAGACTATCCAATCAACTCTTATCCCTGAGTTCAAACCATTTCCTGTATTTTAATCAATATTTGAGAGTGGACAGTGATTTATTCAATCAACCAGAAAACAAAATAATAACAGACACCAAAAACAGAAAAACAAACAAACAAAAAAACATTAATTTACATGGCTATACTCAAACATAATAGGATACTATACATAGATATTTTTACCTTCCTGTTGTAGAGCTTGTTTCACCCTCACCACTGTAAACCATTAAAACAAAAAACTTAATATTGCAAACTTCGTGTGTATTTGCATCACTGTAGTTTTCCTTTGCAAAAGTGACTCTCATTCTCAACTTGTAATTATTGATCTGGAACAACTACACAATACAAGGCCACTTTTGAAGGAGCATATTTCTAGTGGCTCCTTTTGCTTGGCAGTGGATGAAAAAAAGAGGAATAATGAATAAAAAACCAAACAAATCTGCTCATTTGGTGGATGGTTAAAAATGGTGCTGTATTCTGTAATGTCTTAGACATTGATTCTATACTTCCTTTCAAATTGCTTAACTTCACCATACTTGGCAGGCATTCTAGTAAAAGAACTAGTAAAAATAATTCACCTTTCCTCTGTTTTCTTTATGAGATCTTTCAGCAACACGTCAAGTCTGACCCGGGCACTTTTAACACCTACAAGTATGTGTAGTGCTTCAAATTTTTACTAGCTCAAAGGTGTCAAAGAGATTTAATTTCAATTCCATTTAACTGTCTTCATTCTCATAATCCAAACAAATAATAATAACCTATAAAAATATAGATAAAATAAATCTCAGCATCACAATCTCATGTTCGTTATTTTGAGGTATTAAATCTCTTCTTCTCAGTTGTGGCTTTTTGTATCTCTTCGAGATGAAAATAAGCGTGAAGCTGTATTTGGGCTCACCTGTGAAATGAATATCTGGTAATTTCTAAAATTATTCTAAGCTGAGACTGGTAAAGCTTGCATACCATGCAATAATGTGTATGTTGGTCTTCAATAAATATGCTGAGCACTCGTCAAAATGATGGGTTAAAACAACATGTCTCAAGAATGAAAATGAAAAATAAAATAACTGCCATTCGAAAGCAAACCTCGGATTCCTATTAGGCTGTGAACAAAGGAGACTTAATACCTGAAGTAGTTTCCTCTCTTTTCGCAGCCATTGGGGATTGATCTTTCTTTGTTTCAAGCGAATTAAGCGCTAACTGTTATTTGCAATCCAGCTCTGTTTTTGATCTTAATGTAAAATGCACAGCCAAGACAACGTTGTTGCCTGCAATGTCAAGATCGCGGAGTTTCTTAAGGTGTAACTCTCATCACAAGATCGCAGACAAATAGTGATTCTTCGAATTGGACGCCATTTTTCGGATAAAATAACCCGGATGATATATCTGCAATTTATTGGTTTATGACAAGAAGTGTCTAGATATCCCACAAGACTTTGCTTTTGCTGCGTTGCGATTGGCTGAGCAGTCAATGTTGACAATTTTCAAAATATCCTCTATCCCTCCATGCAAAAAAAATTCACTTTTCGCTTGGGAAGAATATTGATTTGTTTGTTAAAATTGTACTGGAGGGCAAATTTACGCGATGTGTAACAATAATAGAACACCTGGGCCCTTATTTGGAAGCGTGAGTCTCAAAAAGGCCTATGAAGTTATCAGGTTAACTTTGAAAATATTTCGTAAAATTTCCTCCAACTCTTGATTCTCAGGTAAATTTTACATCTGAAGAGCGCGATGCGATTCAGAGTGCATTAAACCAGAAGCTTGGCCCAGAGTACATCAGCCAAAGAGCAGGGGCCGGCGGGCAAAAGGTATTTTTGTTACAAAACAAATTAGAATCAGCAATGTCAGAGAAAGCATATTTAACGTTTCTGATTCGTAATTACGTATGCATGTCATTCCTCAGCTCGCTTATGTAGAAGGATGGAAACTCATCAATTTAGCAAATGAAACCTTTGGTTTCAATGGTTGGTCACATTCAGTAACTCATCAGAACATAGGTAAGGGAAATTCACTTGTGTTCTTTCAAATGTTCGTTTACAAAATAATGATCGACAAAAATACTTTTTTATCATGTCACTAATAACACAACTGGCATGTTGGTTTTTCAGATTTTGTAGATCAGGTGGCAAACAAATACTATGTTGGAGTTAGTGCTTTCGTGAAAGTCCAATTAAAGGTGAGAGATAGTGTCAATTTAAGGGGCAAGGTAACAAATCCGATCCTGACAACACGTTGGCCGAAGCGTTCGTCAACGCGTCGGCCGACAGTCGGTGGTGACATTTTGACATTGAAAGGAGTATTTAACACTATCAATAATACACTTTTTCGCAAGGGTAAGACAGGAAAAAAATTTCTTGTACCCTTTTTATTTTAAAAGGGATCAAACCTCAGGCCAGCCATTGTTGATTAGTAATTTAAGCTTGAGGATGCTTTAAATCCATGTTTCAAAGTTATTATCAAGTTGCAGAATTTTATCTTCAACTATGAGCTTCATAAGTTTGAGCAACAGTGTTCAGCGTGTAATAGGGAAAAATTTAAAATGTTAGGCGATATTTTACAGGATGGTGTGTACCATGAAGACATTGGTTATGGAGTCTCAGAAGGAATGAAATCCAAAGCTCTGTCTCTCGAAAAAGCAAGAAAAGAAGCTGTCACAGATGGGCTGAAAAGAGCTCTCAAGTAAGCTGATTTCTATGATTAAAGAAATAATCTTTTTATTGATTTATGGTTGTATAACAATGAAACCTTTTTCTTCCATTTATTGGCCTAGCGTCCTCCATCTGACCCAAATGTAACTACTTATAAACACATAGCTTGCAAGCAGGCCTTCCTTATCATTTCAGCAAAAGCATTTCTTTGCCTGTGGGAAAGTATGAGGCTTGGTGAGTAATATGAGCCAGCAAGAGGTCTGTAAAGGGTCTGGGACTGATCCAGACCTGCAGCAAACCTCTCATTAACTCTTCTCAAATCTTCCTGCGGGTGAAGAAATGAGTGTCCTTCAGCCCAAATGACAAGGGCTTGCTCCAAGGCTAATATGCATTACTATCTAGCCATATTTTTTCTGCAGTCAAATAACAAGTAGGTAATTATAATTATCATGAATTGCCATCTTCTCACAGGTCAATCTGATCAATTGATTTGCTCACCACAGGCAAATGGCCTTACTTTGCTCAACCTTATCCAGAATTGCTAATTATGGATAAATGTGCTCTGTATTAAGTATGGGAGTTAATCCAAAGCTTCATTGATTTCTCTACCTGAATATTTCCTCATGTAGGAGTTTTGGAGAATCACTTGGCAACTGCATTAGTGACAAGGACTACTTAAAATTCATTACCAAACAACCAAAATCAGTAAGTATCAGTAGCCTTCCTGGAAGCAGAAATCCAACTATAGTGTAAGACAATGATGCAAGAGGGTGATCTTTAAAAATCAATTTGAATACTCATTAGCTTAGAATAATATTTATCAAACATTCTTTATTTTAAGCTCCATTACTCACACACTCTTCATATAATTTGTTTTGCATTTATATGCAAAAAAACAATTTGGTTCATAGCTTGCAATTATTATTTATTTAATGAGTTCATTAAATTGCTAATTAAATTAATTGATGTCAATTTAACGTCAAACTTTTTGTACAATAGAAATGCAGAAGTTTTAATTTTTTAGGGTACTATTCAGTATGATGTAAATCTTATGAGGAGACCTGGGAAGACAGTTGTGAGAAAAACCAAGGAAGACCAGAATTCATCTGAGATGATGAAGGAAAACTTCCCTCCTGCAGGTGTATTTGCAAATACTTTCCTATTAATTATTCACTGAATTATCAACCTGATGGTAATTTTTGAAAGTTTTTATGTACTGTGTCCTTGTTCACATTATATTATCTTTTATTTCAGATGGTATTCATGTTAACACCAAACAAGTTTATGTTGGTTCTGCGGGAAACAATGTTCAATGCAATTTCTCTAAAGGGCAATCTTCAGAAATGCAGACAAGGTCAGCAACAAAAGCTGATCATTTGAGAGTATTAAACAAACCAAGGACACCAACAGGAGAGTGGAATAAATCTGAAAAAGTATCACACTGTCCTCCACCATTCAAGACCCCTGGAGCAGCTTCTACCCCTGCATTGGGAACAATTACGAAAAGCAGGACCTCTTTTGTGACCACACCCATAGAGATTAGGGCACATGAAACTGAGCCAAAGGTGGAGAACTACAGTGTCGTTCCAGAAGGTAACCTTAAATATTTCCTGAGAGGTTTTAAATTTTTAAAAGTGGTGTTCAGCTTTTAAAAGTGGTGTTTTATCTATAGCAGTAAACTGATTCTTGATCTTATGACATCTGCATGATAAGAATGGTTCTTCTTCAGATGACCCTCTTCTTTGGAATCAATCTTTTGGTTTTGATGAGGCACTCATGTCTTGTAGTGAGGAATTACTAATGAGACCCTCAGAGGGCTCTAAACCTGAAAGCAGATCTGTTCACCCACATGATGTGAAAGCTTCCAGGTATGACTTGAATAGTAATACAATTATATGAATTATGTGTTAACTCCAATTTGGAAAAAAAACTGACCTGCAATAAAGTAAAAGCCACAGTTTGATAATCAGGGTTTGTTGAAAATGCCAAGCACTAAGGTTTTAACCAATACTTGAGTCTACAAACTTGAAAGGAATTTGATACTAACCAGTAAGCTGAAACAACATGATTGTTAAGATAATTGAAGGTGGCTTTGAACTGTGGGTCGTTTTTTCTTTAACTTTAGAGCAAGATAAATGGTTTATGCTGATTGGAGGTCACTGAATTCATTTTTTGAAACAGACACTTAAAGCCAAATTTAAGGCTGTTTCTGAAGTGTTGCTATGGTTACTTTACTTGTCCTTAATAAAAAATATATTTTTATCCTGTTGAGAAAAAATCGGGTTTTTATTTGAAACCATTTAGATCATGTCAGCACATGTTTGCATTTTTGTCTTTTTCACACATAAGATTCTTTTTATCTTGCTGCCTGTATTCAATATGCTTTGTTTAATTCTCAAATTTAATTTTTTATATTTCTATGTCTAAAAACGGAAAAATAACAACAGCAACACCCCGATCAATGAAAACTTCGCGTGCACCAAACCTTTCCGACCAGACCAAAACAACACTCGCAGCTCGTGTTTCCCGAATCAACCAGGTACGTATTCACACCGGCCTTTCATCTCACTCAGTCTTGGGAAAAAGAATCACGTCTTCGCAGATAGAAGTGACTAATTTTAACATCTAATCTCTTCTCGCGATTTCAGTAAATTAGAGCAATTTCTGTGGTTGGTCTAAGAAAACTCGTGCCACTCTCTCAACCAATCAGATGCAAAACTGAAACCAAACGAGTCTTGGTCAATGGCGTTTCCCGCGCTTCGGTCAGTTTTTTTTTTGTGGCGGCTCCTTAGGATTGGATTGGTTTTCTTTCTACACTCAGTGATTGGTCCAGAAAACTCGCGCGACTCTCTCAACCAATCAGCGAACCAAAACGAAATCGCGACTTGTTTAGTGGAAAATTGCTCAAACAGGGCTCTTTATGTCAATTTCACTAATTCTTTTGCTTTCTTAAAATGAAAAAAAACTCTTCAGAATTGTCTAGATTGTCATCTTTTCATTTTATTTCCCGCAGAAAATATTAAGAGGCGGAGAATAGAGGGGCATACTGTCAGGTGACCGTGAATGGAAAAGATAATACCTGGAGAAGTTGTAGCGCGAAATACAGAGTCAGAGACACATTTATTCGCTCGACAGAGACAGTACGGCTTTAGTTCGACCTAAGAAAAAAATCATTGCTGTTGACTCGCCTCGTGAGTGATATCTGCACTGGTTGGGTTTGGTTTATAGTGTCAAGTATTTTAAGATATTTTCCTCCAGATAACAGTGTGTATTTCCCTAAAGTGGATCTTGAAAGAAATGACGGCCACACCTCGAACAAACCATAGTGCATTCCTACCCGTGCATTCTCTGTCCCATAATACTATGAGGTTATTCTTCAGTATTGCACTGCGCGTCCTTTACTACGCATAGAAATCACGTTAGTATAGGTAATCACATGATTTCGAGTGCAATTTGGAATAAACAGGCACGAGTAAATTTTTTTAAAGACTAACAAAATTGCACGAGCCCGTAGGGCGAGTGCAATTTGTGGTCTTTGAAAAAATTAACAAGTGCTTGTTTATTCCAAATTGCACGAGAAAAATCATGTGATTACGTGTTAATAATATACATGGAAAAATACGAGATGGCTTATCATAATTAAACATAAGCAAAGCGCGCATCAAGTGCAAAAATAATTTATTCAAACCGCGCGTTCGGTCAAAACAACCGCGTACGATCAAAACAATAATAAATTATGCAGTGATATCTTCACATCTTTAAGGTGCAAAAAAGTTCAAGGAATTGTTCAGTGTTTTTGTTGTTTAAGCTGTTTTTCAGCTGCGGTGGCAAAAGAAAGCCTACTCAAAACGCCAGCCATTGTTTCGTTCGCAAATTTTCAAATTTTGTTGCGACATCCAAGGCTCGCATTTGATTGGCTATCTGTGAGTTTCTTTGATTATTGACCAATCAGAATGTCTTATTTGTTTCTTTCTTTGCACTGAATTAACCCTCTTCTGCACTGAATTGACTCTCTTCTGTACTGAATTACCTGAAAACTGCATTTATCTTAACCAATCAGAACTGAGTAATTTTTCCATGTATATTATTATCAGGGGAATAGGCGCGCGCGCATTCTAAGAACACTGTATTGTTTGCAATAACTGGACCAGGTAAAGAGGTCAGATGGTCTTTAGCATAATAGTCCTTTTTTTTCGTTTTTCTTTGGTCTTTTTCATAATTTTGGTCAACAAATTATACCCTTTAAATTAGACAAGTTAAAAAAATTCATCGAAAGGGAAAAAAGATATATCTAAAAGCGTGCTCGAAGCCCGTTACTTGAGGATGCAAATTATGACCTCGAAAGCCACGACTCGAGGAACATTTTGAGTCGATGTCGTTTAAAATTGCATTGTTGCATTCGTTCGAGGCTTTTTACCTATCAAGTATTTTTCAAGTGTGGCTTCAAAACCTTTGTTTCCAGCTACCCTAAATTGTACCCTGAACCGATGAAATGACGCGCGTGATTGGCGCCAGTACAGGCTTCATTGGGGTAAGTTTGGCCCACCATATCTTTTAAATATGTAGGGTGACCTATCTTTTACATTGTATTTTCCGAAACAAACGTTGGTAGGAGACATTTCAGGAGAGTTTAAAAATATTGTTCGATAATACCCTTAGGGCTGTTTTTCTTTACGACACTAGGGTTCATTCTGAAGTGGTCGAATGGAATAAAATTCTCTATTGTTGAGGTTACTTGATGAGTAACGGATTCATGTTGAAAAGAGTTTTGAATGCCCTTTTTTGCCAATATGAAATAACTCATGGATTAATTGAGAAGTTTGGATCAACCATCGAATTCTACTCTACTAAGTTGCTAAGGCTAACGGTTCCTCGTGTAATCGTGGAAAATATCTCTGTCTCGGACGTACAGCGGTCCTGCCTTTTGATTGGTTCATTCAGTGTGCAGCCGGCTAATTTGCATCATTTGCTGTCATTAAGCAGTACCTCATGTTTCAAGCTTAAAAAATTCATTCACGATTAAGTTTTGCAGTAAAGTTAGCGGGAAAGTTTATAAAACCTTCAAGATCAGTAGTGAAGTCTGTTTCTACTCTGCGGAATCAAATATCAACATGTGAGAAGAATATGCAAGAAGCTTTATCTCAATGTGTTTCAATGGTTGGAGGGGTGACTATTATGTTTGAAATATATGAGATACCACCCCTCACTCCTTTGTCAATAAATTGAAACATATCAACGTCTGTCATTAATTCTAATTTCATATCACTAATTAATTTTTCAATATAACATCCCAAGGCAGTTCAGGAAATGTAAAATAATGATATGGATCAAGTTTATAATATAACAGACAAGTATTTCTGAAATTCTCAAATACATCAGCAAGCAGAAGAATATCTGATTTAAGATACAAATCATGATACTGACTGATTGTCTTGCGATTGAATGTATTCCACACATTTTGAGCATGTTTGTATTGCTCATTGGATATGTGCTCATTTTGAAGAATGTTGTAAAATTAATTGCTCTTATATTTTTGTCCTTGAAGCTGCAACTGGCACAACCATCTTTTTTCTTCTAGGTGTTGGGGTGGGTTTTCACCCATCTCTAAGTTCAAATGGTGGAGGAATGATATTGTCTTCATATTCTTGCACCATCTATTTAACACTTTTTCGTGGTGTTGGAATTGGTCTTATCCTCGGTTTGGGTACTGGTCTTTCTGGTTTAACATTTTTCTTCAAGAACAGTTTTATTAACTGAGTGTTTCTGTTTTGTGTTGATCATATTCTTTGTGGTAAGAAATGCCCCCACTGTCATACATTATAAGGAATAACATTGAGAGCTTTAACCATTATTCGATCCGCTTCATTTTTACATTTTTTATAATCTTTGCATGCAGAATAGTCAACATCATGTTGCATTGAAATAGCACCTATTTTCCAATGGTTTTGTCATAAATCTCAAGTATTTGACCAGTGTTTTTGTCATATTTTAATTGTTTGTCCAGTGGATTGTAAGGTCCAGTGTATTTATGTCCAAGAAGTGTGCAACCTGATTTTGGTTTTGGAAATTTACCGATTGCTTTATGGATATCAAAACCTCCCCCAAACGGATATCTGTATTTTGGTCTTCCAGCATAACCCATTTCAAGTGCCCAATTGGTTAAAGATTTTGTTCTAACATTCTTTTTGTACTGTTCATACTCTCTTATGTATCCTGCCACTGCTTTTTTCGCTTCTGATTTACTCATTGTTGGATCAGAAAGAGCATCTTTCAAATACCCAAGAGCTTTTGGAACATCAGATAATCTTTCCTGGCCTCTTCAAGAAGTTTATCAATGAAGCCATATCCTCTTTGATACCACTTTTAATTGCCCCCAGCTTGTGAGAGCTCTTCTAGTTTCCCCGCTTGACGAATTTTGATTTTGTGATGCCACATTCAGCACATTTGCAGAAATGCATCAATCTTCCATTTTTGGATTTTTTATATCCCGATATAAATATACCCTACTTGAAAGAAATTATCAGGTTGTTTTGAGAACGGGAGACTTTGTTGATTTTATTGGATTTGATAAAGCCATTGTCACAAAAGCATCAAATGGAACAAAACTTCCAAATATCACACGATCCGTTGATAATATATTTATTCAATCAAATGTAATAAGTGTCAGCGTTGTATCTGGTGATAATTCTGATATTTTATACAGATTCAGTGTTGATAACCTTCCTCTGAGGTATCCATTTCATATTGAGCCAAAAAGATCTTTATTCAGTAATATTTGTTCAAATAATATCCGAAAGATACATATACATTTGACTGATACACAAGACAGACCAATTGATTTGAATAATATTCAAGTCAGTTTGATTTTAATTCTGAAAGGGAAATAAATTGTGTAACAATAACATATATTTCAAGAATAAGAAGAATCGGAGGCAAAAATCAGAAAGTAACATCATTCTTCCACTTAATAGATTTGGTTATTTTGATTCTTTTGTTGATCAAATCTCCCCAAATAGAAAAGTGAGTTTTAAAGTCACACTTGAATCTGATGACAATGTTATTTTCAGAAGTGGTGCTGATGATGGAAGATTCATCGTCATAAGATTTTTTTATGGGTTCTAAAAATAGCTTTCAATTCGGTTGGTAAACAGACGTTTTCCGATAAATATTTGAAAACACACACATGGTTTTACTTGAAAGAGAAACTTGGAATTTCATTAGGTGGTCAACAGAAGCAGGCAACATTCAAACTGACTTAAAGTATAAGAAAACCAAGACGGGTCTTTACTTGGGTACCCCTGTGTGAACAGCACCCTCATGAGCAACTTTCCCAACCCCTCTCCCCAAGTGCCGCTAATTTGACACGCCGACAATTTTGCGACGATTTGAAATTCATCTTCGCCGAGTCTCGGCACAATTTCCTCAGCGAAACAAACAACCGAAAGGCTTTTGTTTGAACTTGTGAAGTCGAATTTAACCCACAACAATGGCCCAT